AAATGGTCTGCCGGTGTGTGGCTGATGTACATTTAAGTTTGCCGGGACAGCTGCACTCATAACCGTCGCGGAAGGACAAGCGGGTAGATTCCTCTAAATCCGCGCTTTTAACTCGCTACTAAGCCGACAAGAGTGGTCTCCCTTCAATCATTGGTCGACACGAAGCTGGATGAGGCTCCGGTGCATCCATTCCCCTCACTTACAAAATGAGGTAAACGCAATGGATATATACTTACAATGGATATATACAAAGCAACAAAGAATATTGAACATTCCTCTTTGTTTTGAAACTTTCTTTTATTTCAGGTGGAAGATGGTAAGTCTGTTTCCTTGGCAACTGTTTATTGAAACAGTGCATGTATATCATGCTATACGTCTGAACATAAAGCAAAGATTACTTATTCACCCCCAGTATTTAAAGTGGGGTCAATGGGGTAGCGTCGTGGTTAAAGCACGGGCTGAGATGCCGAAGTCTCAGCTTCTACTGCGTGTCGACCTGGACTGAAAATGACCGCCAGACGAACAGCACTGTACTGCTGTCGATATTAGACAATTTAGAAATGTCCAAAGACTCCTCGATACAAAAAACACTCAAAAAGAGGGAAGGGAGACCACTCTCCATCGCCTGTCAGGTGTGCTTTGACCAAATGTGAGCGAAGTGATCGTAAAATACCCAGCGTTCCGATGATTATCAGCTTGTACTCTAAGGACTACCCATGTGCATATACACTTCGGGTTTGCCATTGCAGACTCAGATTGTAATGACTGGGCTTGTTAGTCCTGATATAATCGGACTAACACTTGATGCAGCGCAAAACCATACTTACTTACTCACTCACTCGTCATTTGGCATGCATATATACATGGGGGAAATTACGAAGAATGACTTTTACGAAACGAGTGTGAAATTTTGTATTGCCGAAAGGAGAGCTACATACTTGTTCACGAGTTTTGTAAAAGGCCTATGGCGCACTTGCGAGTGTAATGATCTCTATACTATATAGACAAACTTCCCGTCTATACAGTGTAACTGTTTATCATTAAAATGTTTTTAAACATCAAAAAAGGGCTGAAGACGGACAACAATATAACTTTTTAACTCGGACGGGCATGTTGCTTGACAACAGTACAAGAATCTGTATCGAAACGTCGCACTCACGAAATGAAAGAAGTTGTTATCCATAAAAGTTGATATATTGCACTTCCCAACTTGTGCCAACAGTCATCCTGTTGTCCGTCTCCATCCCTGTTTCTCTCAATAACTGTAGCCACAGCTAAATGTCGACAAAGCTTTTTGATATATTTTTGGAAATTGATCAAAAGTTTCTGACTTACATGACAATATTTCTATATATGTGACACACTTACATGTGAACAAAGAACAGATTTATTACTCAGATATTGCTGCACTCACCTTATTCTTTTGCGAAACGCTTCCTCCAAATCAACAGCAGGGGAAGAAATTCCGTTGAAAAAACGTTTCTATTTACCCAGGCGGTAAGAGTTCCTCCCGTTCCCCCCATCCCAAATAATATGTATAAATATTCTAGAATTATAAACAAAACTTAACACAACAATTACTAGAGAACTCACAAAATAATTAAAAGTCCAAAATTTAAGTTAGAGTTTGGTTTAGAGTTGGGTTGGAACGGAAGGAACTCTTTCCACGCAGGCTTGTAGACCAATAATGCACATCCCAAATAGAAAGATAAGTGAGAGTGTCCGAGAGTGTGACCATCTCGCTTTTAACTGAATTATTTCCAGCTTATATTTTGCTGACATGCATCGATTGAGTTATTGAATGATGTCTCATCTGCTTCCATTTACAGCGTCTGGAAATAACACGCACTAAAAACTCGTGCAGCGGAAATGAGTCCTGATTGGCTGAACTCGAAACCATGACATCACGTGACGAAGGTGGCGAACACCTGCGTTATATCGGTCTCGGTCTGTGTGAAATCTACAACGGTTCAAACTTGATTTAACATGTGATTATGAAAATAGCCTAAAACGAGGATGATAAAGAAAGAGAAACAATTCTGCTACCCGTTTCAGATTAGCAAATGAGTGAGTGAGTTTAACATCGGTCAGCTTAACTGGGAATAACCTGGGAAGATCCAGGTTAGAACTGATCTTCAGTAACCCATGCTTGTAGTAAGAGGCGACTAACGGGATCGGGTGGTCAGGCTCACTGACAAGGTTGACACATTTCATCATATCCTAATTGCGGCATCGATGTTCATGGTATCTGTCACTGCTCTGGCTGGCCCAGATACACTAGTTGCACACCGTCGTCATGTAGCTGGAATATTGCCGATTGCATTCGTAACTACTCGTGTCATTCCGGCAAGCCTTCACGGAAAGAGACGAGTAGTTACGAATGTGCCGAGTGCAGCGTTTAACACCGAACAAGAAACTAATGCAGACCACGTTTGCGAATATGGTGCTACCCACGAGAAGGGCACTGACGTTCCATGAATAATTATCAGGCGAATATAGGCGAATATGACACAAGTTTGCCATACAGACACTGAAATAAATACATGTATATCCAATGCAGCCCATGCAAGTCGAGATTCCTGCCGTTTCCGCAAATAAAGAAGGTACCTCTTGGCATCTATCGTGTTTCGAATGTTGGTGGTGCAGTATTTAATGTGTCATATATTTCATAACTACATGTTGCACAATATAACATGAAACTCCATTTCTCGGTGCAAGAGTATGCACTCGCCAATATCAAAACCTAGTTACTCGAAACTATAGACAAACTATAGCCTCTGATATGGGCTACCCGGACACTGCCTTGGAAAGATGTATAGAACTATGAACAAGCACATAGCATAAAACAAACAACCGGGTCGTCTTCCTCTTCCGCAACTGAACTGTCTGTACATACATTTAACCAGTTTAATAAACAATGTTACACTCGTGCGTTATTGGTTTTCTTTTGTGGGGGCGTTGCTTAAAATAAGACATTATTATTTTGAAAAATATTGCTTATTTCCTAATATTTCCTAGTTTGTTAGAGTGAAAAACTGTTTCCTTTTGTGCATATTCGGATTTCTACGGAAATAGCTGTTAATATATTTTTTTCTTTCTTGGGCCAAAGTAGGGCAAATAAACAAAAAGTGAAATTCATCTCAATATATCGTTTGCATTACAGAGAGTACATATTCTTTCATTTGGGGGCGTTTTAATCCATCGTCCTGTTTCAATTTTTAGATAATGGTTTGAAGTTCTAAAATTAAGTAACGCCCTCCGAATATTATAATGTAATAAATTCAGATAGATTTCATATTTCAATTCAGAATTTTTAAAAATATTATAAATAGCGTCTCTTGAAGATTTTTCTGTTTGATATCTAGGTCTGTAGATTGATTTCTTTCAGTCTGTTTAAAACAAGTGCTTTAAGACTACATATATTCGTATTAGGACATGCCTGTGTAGCCCAAATATAACTCGTCCCAATTTTTATAAAGTGTCCTTAATACAGGCAATCCATTTACAGCCAGATGTGTTACAAGTTGTATCATTATAGAGTAATTAATAAACTAGGAGAGAAAATTTAGAAGCCTTTCCTGAAATGAGTTTTCCCCAAAAGAGTAACATTCGTGATCTAATTTCAATTTCCAGCGGATATCTCCCCAGTTCCCCATAAAACATGAATGAGGGGGTGCTTTGTCTTAATGAGAGGAGTTCCTTTAGAAATTTTAAAAGAATATGTTCTACCCAAGAATTATTACCAAACCCCACAGTTCACACCCATAAAGAAGGACAGGGGCAACTAAGCAATCCCAGGCATGTAATCCATGCTTTCTATATGTTTGTCGAAAGAGGTCACCAATGTTTGAACGATAATAAGTTCTACTTGGAAACTAACCTGATGTTATTTTGAAAAAACATTTTTTACTTTAAAATGGAAACTCTTATGAATCATTTTCCGGAACCTACGCTGCGACCTGATGTCTAAACAGCGCAATAGATTTCTTCTTAAATCAGACACCATTTTTGTCTGATATTAACACAACTAACCTAAACACGTGGTGTGTAAATAAGGATGCTGAAGTAAGAAACAATGGCATTTTTGTTTGGGAGAATGTTTTGGCTGGAGTCAACATTGAGAAGAATTCAGAAGGTACAGGTGGACATACAGGTGGCGATGCAGTCCTGACAACGGCGATCCAGTGAAGTGAAACGCCAGCACAGCTTACCCCGGGGGAACAACTCTGGTGCTGACGTGGCTTCGATGCTACCGGTACTTATATGATCGTATATCCCAGTCGTAGGGGGTAGCGAGAAAGTCATTCTGTGCAAGCGGGCACAGGATCCACTTGTGATCTTAGAGCTAAGACGATCGTAATTCCAATAGTATAACATAGATTCACAATAGTTGTAAGAGCGAAATCGTCTTGCACAAGTGGACCTGCGCCGTTCCACAAAGTGATTATAGGGCTACGACTGTCGAACTCCATGTTAAGGTATGCCAGTTACAATACGGCCAAGTTCTATCAATACGAATCCTGGAATCAGGTAGTCATGGCAATGAGGCATCATTTCTGTTCGTGTAATCTGGCTCTGGTGATTTGATTGCTTGTTTGTGTCAACCAAGTCTGCGAGCCTGCCCACCCATTCTGTCCTTCCCTATTATAACAACATGGGTTGCTGAAGGTCTCTTTTAACTCAGATCTTCATGTGCCCTTTATCCAGTGATGATACCAGATACTAGCATCTGTTCAAGCAGTCTTTGACTAACTTTACATAATGTTTTCAGTTATGGGATATTTATGGTATGCTATTCACACTATTTATTTTACTTTTTGAAGGGGCGGGGTAGATTTCATTATGCTTTAATGCATGCTTCTACATAAGCTACTACAATTTAATGGGACATTGTTATCATATTTGGCATATTTTACTAAAATTGCATACACAGCGGGTCTAACGATTCCCATTGCAATTCGTCTGTGAGGAAAGTCCACAAAAAAAACACGAAGTCAGTGTGAAGTAGAGAATAGTTTAATTTTATCACAAGTTGCAACGAAGTTGACTTTCCAAATGGAAGCACTACATAGTGTCCTGACAAGTCGGAAGTACCTCTCACTAACTTACTCCACACATGCTCCATCTGAACATTTCTGATGCTTCTCATGGAAAGAATAAATATTTGTATTATGTTCCTAGGGTAAACATGTCACAACAGTAACATGCAAGGCTCATTTCATAGAAATGTCCAGCATTTAACAACCATTTGCACACTTGGTCGCTCCTTGTTCACATGCTACACACACACCTGCACAACATCAGACAATCGAACACCAGCCACACAGACGCCTCTGGAAACTCAGGTAACACAAACGTCTCGGGGAACGCAGTCTACACATGCCTCCTGGCTCCAACAACATGATATCCTGTTTAATTCTGTTTTCTTCTGAGGTCATACCATCTATCAAGAATTGTTAGCAATCATGGCACTTGCCAGAAAAATCAAGGAACTGGAAATTTTGCAAAGCATGATGCTGATGCTTGAATGAATAAAAAATGTCACTATTCTGTAAGAGCCAAATTAATCATGCCGATTTGATTAAAAAGATAGCAAACAAAACACTGTAAGACATATATTGAGAAACCAGATTGTGAATGTTGACAAATTTGGTAACTAGGATTGTTCTGACAGCTCAGAATTACAAGCAGAGGACTGTGATACAGAATCATCGGTGGGATCACAATAACATTACATTATGAACAAGAACTTTTCACACAATCATGGCAAGTGGACATTCAAGCATCCTTGTATGTTGAACATCTTCACACAACATCCACTGAAGAAAGTTCCACAGATATCATCCACAAGCATCATCTACTTCCTGTTCCCAAGTAGACACCTGTCTGTTGTACTGTCTTCACAGAACCATTAACAGCCCAAGTAAACATACAGACAAACAAGTTCACTCCTCTGTTAGTTCCTGAGTAGAAGCCACTCTGTTCCTGAGAAGACGCCTCTCCATTAGTTCCTGAGCAGACGCCTGTCTATTAGTTCCAACTATATGCCAATCCAGTAATGTTCAAAAAGACGCCTGTTAGTTACCAAGTAGAAGCCACCCCATTACTCTCGGTTCCGAAGTAGACACATGTCTATTACACTTAGTTCCCGAGTAGACACATGTCTATTACACTTAGTTCCCAAGTAGACACATGTCTATTACATTTAGTTCCCAAGTAGACACATGTCTATTACATTTAGTTCCCAAGTAGACACATGTCTATTACACTTAGTTCCCAAGTAGACACATGTCTATTGCACTCAGCTCCCAAGTAGACACATGTCTATTACACTTGGTTCCCAAGTAGACACATGTCTATTGCACTCAGCTCCCAAGTAGACAGATTTCTATTACACTTGGTTCCCAAATAGACACATGTCTATTACACTTACTTCCCAAGTAGAAGCCGCTCCATTACACTTGGTTCCCAAGTAGACACATGTCTATTACACTTAGTTCCCAAGTAAAGCCACACCATTACACTTGGTTCCCAAGTAGACACATGTCTATCATACTTAGTTCCCAAGTAGAAGCCATTACACCGGTTCACCATTACATACTTGGTTCCCAAGTAGACACATGTCTATTACCATTACACTTAGTTCCATTACACTTGGTAAAACACATATCACACCATTACACTTGGTTCGGTTTCCCAAGTAGTAGAGCCAACACTTAGTTCCCATTACACTCAGTAGAAGCCACCATTACATGTCTATTACACTTAGTTCCCAAGTAGAAGCCATTCCATTACACTTGGTTCCCAAGTAGACACATGTCTATCATACTTAGTTCCCAGTAGAAGCCACACCATTACACTTGGTTCCCAAGTAGACACATGTCTATCATACTTAGTTCCCAAGTAAAGCCACACCATTACACTTGGTTCCCAAGTAGACACATGTCTATTACACTTAGTTCCCAAGTAAAGCCACACCATTACACTTGGTTTCCAAGTAGACACATGTCTATCATGCTTAGTTCCCAAGTAGAAGCCATTCCATTACACTTAATTCCCGAGTAGACACATGTCTATTACACTTAGTTCCCGAGTAGACACATGTCTTTTACACTCAGTTCCCGAGTAGAAATCTCTCCATTACACTCAGTTCCAGAGTAGACACATGTCTACTTTACTTAGTTCCCAAGAAGACACATGTCTATTATACTTAGTTCCCAAGTAGAAGCCTCTCCATTACACTTGGATCCCTTACTTTCCGAGTAGACGCTGCTCTGTCCACAGAGGCACAACATCAACACAAGTACACATACAGCAACTCTTATCCAGTCAGAATATCTACACAGCACAAACGTCCTCACTCTCTCCAAGTTGGGAGGTTGTCACCTCCTGCCCCGCCTCTTCATGGCGGCTGTACACTGCGGACAGTACCACTTGCCCTTTGGTGCTTGTGTCAAGCCCACACAGCCATAGTGGAACCACTCGATAGGACACTGAGAAGGAAACACAGATAGTCATTAGAACTGGAACAATGTGTATGTTTGAGGTTTACCACTTGGGTGAAACGCTTGAAAATGGGCCGACAAACCAAAATATACACTCCTAAAACATACAGGGATATACTCAACAACACTAATGGCTCATAGCAATTTGACTTTATTTCATCAAAGTGTTAGAATCCAGAGGGATCCCTACCAACATGCATGGCAGAATTGCATGGTCCACATGCATCATTACAGCCATGTAAAAGGTTTGGCTCAGGAACAGATAAGGTGTGTATCTGCGTAAATTACGCAAATATTTATGTGAAAACTCAATTCCTATTAAGTCTATTGCGTACAAGTACGCTTGAATTTTGGTAAATACTCAATAAATGTGGTCTTACATGCGTACACACGAAAATGGCAAATCTCAGCTTGCGTGCCGGTGGATAGATAAAATAACAGAGGTATACTGAGAGGTTCTATTCAGGACATGAACTTGACAACTTGCAGTCTTTCTTATCGTTTCTCATAATACAGATCACACATAAATAAGAAACACTAGCATTTAAACTTTATTAATACCCAATTGAGTTTGAGTGAGGTGAGTACAATTTATTTGGTTACTCAAAGGAAAATTTGGATACCCAATTGAGATGAACACAAGCGAGTTCATAACTCAATGACCCAAAAAGTTATCTGTAGCTCTGCAAGGCCTTCATTTTTTTGAGCTGATCTTTCTTGTGATGATTGCTCATAAAATTTATAGTTCATGACATCCTACTTATTTTTCAAAGAGTATAATTTAGTCTCGGCAAACCAATAACTGAAACTATGACAAGTAACCATGTCACCAAGAGTGAGTGAGTGAGTGAGTGAGTGAGTGAGTGAGTGAGTGAGTGAGTGAGTGAGTGATGAGTGAGTGAGTGAGTGAGTGAGTGAGTGAGTGAGTGAGTGAGTGAGTGAGTGAGTGAGTGAGTGAGTGAGTGAGGTGAGTGAGTGAGTGAGTGAGTGAGTGAGTGAGTGAGTGGTGAGGTGAGTGAGTGGTGGTGGTGAGTGAGTGAGTGAGTGAGTGAGTGGTGAGGTGAGTGAGTGAGTGAGTGAGGTGAGTGAGTGAGTGAGTGGAGTGAGTGAGTGAGTGAGTGAGTGAGTGAGTGAGTGAGTGAGTGAGTGAGTGAGTGAGTGAGTGAGTGAGTGAGTGAGTGAGTGAGTGAGTGAGTGAGTGAGTGAGTGAGTGAGCGAGCGAGCGAGCGAGCGAGCGAGCAATATTCAAGCAATATCACGGCAGGGGACACCAGAAATGGGCTTCACACAATGTACCCATGCTGGGAATCAAACCCGGATCTTTGGTGTGACGAGCAACCGCTTTAACCACTGGACTTCCCCACCACCCTCACCAAGCCTGACCATCTGATCCACTTCAGGTGCTTCTTGGTAACTACTTGGTGTCGACCCAATTAACATCAAGATGACCTGGTTACATGGACTGACTGACTGAGTTTGGTTTTACGCCGCTTTTAGCAATATTCCAGCAACATCACGGCGGGGGACACCAGAAATGGGCTTCACACATTGTACCCATGTGGGGATTCGAACCCGGGTCGGTGGTGTGACGAGCCAACGCTTTAACCACTAGGCTACCTCACCGCCCCCTGGTTACATGGAGACAAGGAGAAAAAGCTAAGGAGTGGGTCATACTTACATCATCATTATCACAGCCCACCATGTCTCCGTAAGACACCTGGTTGCACAGACAGTAGCGTGGCTCATTGGGGTCGCTGCTCCAGTCGTCCACCTGTAAGTCACTGTTATAGTCCTCTACAGGTTCCGGGACAACGGCAGGGGGTGGTGCCACTGGCGGTACTGGAGGTGGTATGGGTGCGGCCACTGCTGCTGGTGGGGCAGGCTGGGTGGTGTGCTGTTGAGCAAGGGCGGCAGCTTTTGTTGTGGGTCTGGACAAAATAGATATGTTACAAATTATTTTCTTATGTATTTATACAAACAGTTTAGAAGTGGCAAAAATCCATAAATCAGTAAATATGAAAAATATGGCGTTCGTTGTGATATCCAGAACCCTGGTATGTCCAAGCGTGATGGTTTAGGCATTTTAATTGTTAGCTTTGCAACCTTTATATTTCACAGAAAATGAGTCGCATGCAAGACCCTGGCAGTTTCACATTTACTTACTTCTTTGTTCTGGAGGATCTGGGTGTTGAGTCTGGAGTGGTTGGAGCAGAAGTCTGTGCTGGAAAGCTCAAGGACAAATCTTTTGCGACAACAGGAATCGGGCGACCCATCAGGTCATAGCTGGCTTTCATGCTGGAGGTCCTCCGTCCTTGCTGCATCTGAATAGCAAGGTGAAACATACACTCTCTACTATACACTCACATCAACACCAAACACTCACATCAACACCATACACTCACATCAACACCATACACTCACATCAACACCATACACTCACTTCAACACCTTACGATCACATCAACACCATACACTCACATCAACACCATACACTCACATCACCACCATAAGATCACATCAAGACCATACACTCACATCAACACCATACACTCACATCAACACCTTAAGATCACATTAACACCATACGCTCACATCAACACCATACCCTCACATCAACACAATACACTCACATTAACACCATACACTCACATCAACACCAAACACTCACATCAACACCATACACTCACATCAACACCATACACTCACATCAACATCATACACTCACATTAACACCATACACTCACATTAACACCATACACTCACATCAACACCATACACTCACATCAACACCATACACTCACATCAACACCATACACTCACATCAACACCATACACTCACATCAACACCATACACTCACATCAACACCAAACACTCACATCAACACCATACACTCACATCAACATCATACACTCACATCATTAACACCATCAACACCACTCACATCAACACCATACACTCACTTCAACACCATACACTCACATCAACACCATACCCTCACATCAACACCATACACACACATCAACATCATACACTCACATCAACACCAAACACTCACATCAACACCATACCCTCACATCACCACCTTACCCTCACATCAACACCATACCCTCACATCAACATCTCACAGTCACATCAACACCATACCCTCACATCAACACCATACACTCACATCAACACCATACCCTCACATCAACACCATACACTCACATCAACACCATACCCTCACATCAACACCATACACTCACACTCATCAACACCATACACTCACATCAACACCATACACTCACATCAACACCATACCCTCACATCAACACCAAACACTCACATCAACACCATACACTCGCATCAACACCACACACATCAACACCATACCCTCACATCAATACCATACACTCACATCAACACCATACACTCACATCAACACCATACCCTCATCAACACCAACACTCAATACCATACCCTCACATCAACACCATACCCTCACACTAACACCATACCCTCACATCAACACCATACACTCACATCAACATCATACCCTCACATCAACATCATTTACTTGCAGTAACACTACATACTGACAGTAACACCACACAATCACATCTACACCATATACTCACTACAATACCCAACACTCAAATAACACATTTTTTTATTAACAATGAAATCAATAATTCTAGGTAGCCATAAAACCACAGTCAGCAATATTCCTGCTAAAGTACTGTCGGAAATAGAAAAAAACTGTATTTTCTCATTTATCTCTACAATTTATGTAGTTGATATGTGCAAGTGTGAAATATCTGTTAAACTAAGTTCGGCCTAACTACAGTCTCAGTGGTAGAGACATAGGAAACGTAGAAAAAAGACTTTACTGAGGAGAGATTAGTACGGAAATAAGCAATGCAGTTTTTTCTAAGTCCAAAACGATTTATTTGGAACAGACCATGACTTTATGCAAATTAGTGTGCGACGATATTGTATTACAAAGGACACTTTTAAATGCCCAATTTGAAATTAGACGTATCTTCATTATAAACGCGAGCTGAGGTAAAAAATAATAACTTCCATGCTGAAACTATTAAGGATGTAGCTACCATGAAGTCTCACTGTCACTATGAAAAGAAACAGATAGGAGGGTTCGTCTCAAAAGCAAAATGGGTGTCGCAGACGATCTTTGGGGTCGGGCTGGGGGATAGAGATATCAGCTAAGATAAGATAATCCTTCAGGGCAATTATACTGGGGAAGTACACGTCATAACAATTTACAAATAATATCCTGTCCTGTCAACCTTCGCGATCGGGTGGTCATACCACCTATATATTTTGAGACATTTAATACTATACGTTTCTATGGTTATCAGGTATCATACTCTTTTACATATCTCAACATAAACTATATGAAAGAAAGACACGTAAGATGTTAATCAATAGATGAGACATAGTCAACACACATGAAAAAGCACAAAATATCTTTGAGATGACCCCTTGTGCCTGTAGGCAGCACATGCATTTCATGCCAGATGAGTTGACGGTCCGTCGTCATACCTGGCTGAGCGACCTACTTGCCATCTATAGTCTGATCTATTGTTTTCAGCAGCTATTCGTATTTTTTCTAAGTTGTGCCCGATTTTACGAGTAAACATGCTTTTCTGGATATCTTATTACGCATCCCACTGAATGCCAAGTTAGGCCGAAGTTGGTTATTTCGACATATGCTATTTGCAGTTGTGTAAATTTTAGGATACAGAGTAACAGCCTAAAAACAGGGTTTTTTTTCTATTTTCCGACAGTACTTTAGTGCTAGGCTGCTTGTTAATAATGACAGTTTGCAGAACTGTGGGTGACCTGCCTTCCAATCCCCACGTGACGGTGGCAATGAGATGGGATCCGAGGGACTAGTAAACTTGTATGTAGGATAGCTACAACATGACCCGGATATATACTGACAACTACTCTCACCTGTTGTGTGGCAGCGATGGCCTGAGATGCAGCAGCAGCTATGGCAGCATTGCTTCCAGCACCAATATGACCTGTTGGAAAGAACAGAGCTATTACTAGGCTAGGTATCATTAGTATCAAACTCAGCATCACAACATAAGCAAGACTGCAATATAACAATTCACCAGTGTTCAGCACTAAGGGTGCTCCTGAGTCTCTTGAGATGTGTTGCTAACAGCAGTCTTCATGTTTTATTATTCAGTTCGTGACAAGGACCAGTTCACTTTCATGAGTGAGTGAGTTTAGTTTTACCCTGCACTCAGCAATATTCCAGCTATATGGCGGCGGTCTGAAAATAATCGAGTCTGGACCAGACAATCCAGTGATCAACAGCATGAGCATCGATCTGCGCAATTGGGAACCGATGACAGCAAGCCTGAACACCCGATCCCATTAGTCCCCTCTTACGACAAGCATGGGTTACTGAAGATCAATATTCTCACCCGGACCTTCATGGGTGAGTGAGTGAGTGAGGGAAGGAGTGAGGGAAGGAGGGAGGGAACGGGCAATACTCCAGCAATATCATGTCCGGGACACCAACTATGAGTTTCAGGAATGAGTGTTTGGCGTGAAGAGCAAACATTTTAACCCCTACGCTACCATCCCGAAGATTCCTTAACACTACACTCATTTTCTGTACTACAATCTTAGTTCTACCACCGAAGCCTCTGGACCACACAAACCAGTGACTGAAACTATCATTTGTAATCAGTGTAATGTACCCACCTAAGTTATATGCAATAGGAGATGAGCTTGCACTGGAGTTGAACATGGCCATGGCAGGGGGGAGTTCCCGGCAGAGTCGGACCGGCGAATCACTTCCTTTGCTGCCTCTGTCGCTAGTTTTGAAAGCACTTCGGTGGTTGGCCGTTTCTCTGGGGCATGATTGGTCACCAGAGAAGAGGTCTGAGGTAGTCGTCTCTCTGTAGCAAGTTCAAAATAAATTTGCTGTATTCAATATATTTTGCAACCAATCCATCAATCTCAATTTTGAACAGACTTTCTCAGTGTGAACGAGACACACAAATGATCATCTACTTTCTGATTAATACAAATTGTAAACATTTCACAAACTGCATAATGCAATACAAGATTCAACAATATTAAGATGAGATCAGTGTTTAACATTATTATCATTCTTTATTGAAGTGAATAGGTTTTTTTCAACACAGGTACACACAACCAACTACTTACTTTCTGCCTTGTGTGGGTTACTTATAGGAGGCTGAGGTTTATCCAACTCAAGGGATCCTGGAAATAAATCCTCTCATGTTACCATGGTAGCGGAATGAAAAATAAAATTGCGGGTATGTAGCTATATGCATGATATAAGGCCCCAAATCGTTCTATGTTTTTGATGTTTATGTTTACAAGGATCATGCTTATGATGATGTAGATTTCAAAAGCACAAACGATCCATACACAGACACAACAAACTTGGCAGAGATTAACATTTTTCTTTTGCATCTTTTCAGTTCAATTTAAAACCTCCATTCCTTCAGGAACTTGACCTCTCAAATGTCATATTTAACATTTAATTAATTGGCACTGGTCCCATCACACACAAGGTTCATGATGCTGTCTAACAATTTGTGGAAGCCTTGGTAGCTGAGTGGGTTTAATCACTGACTTTGGGTGCTGGCAGTTTCGTGCCTCACTCTAATAGTGTCAGTTCGAAAAGTAATAGAATTTCTACTGTACTTAAACATGTGTAAAACAGGGTAATCAATGACACATATACACTTGCTACATTAATCAGTTTTAGAAGTCTGGATACTTAACCCTCAAAACTTTTACTTTGACTTTTGTTTTAAACAACGTTCTGACCACATTGTGTTGTTTACATGTAGCAAACATATCATGATGTTTGTGACCAAGAATATCAATGTCATACTTACGTTTTTCTAATACTTCTGTGATTCCTGCGTTATCTGCTTCTAGCTCCATCTTGAATTTGGACAGCTCTTGATCAAGTTTTCGTAAATGCCTATCAACCTGGTAAAGCAAAGTCATGACCATATCAAGCTCTAATTACTGGACGTGTACGGTATCTCCATGGCACTGATCAGCTGCTAGAGTTTGTGTTGATCAGAGGTGGTGGGGTAGTCTAGTGGTTAAAGCATTCGCTCGTCATGCCGAAGACCCAGATTTGATTCTTCACATGGGTACAATGTGTGAAGCCCATTCCTGGTGTCGCCCGCTGTGATATTGCTGGAATATTGCTAAAAGCGGCGTAAAACTTAACTCACTCAATCAATCACTCAATCGTGTAGTCCAGGTTCTCATGACATAGATTAACTAATGCTAACTCACTTACTTAACATATTTATGCACATGTTGGTGAGAAAGCCATATAAGATAACTGGCATCAAACTTCTGTGAGATTGAAATACTGGTCTGTGATTGGCTACTCCATGGTGATGACCTACTACGGTCAGATTATGATGGACTACTTTACTGATTGTAATTTATTGATAACTTAGTTGTGCTTTATGTCTGTGTCAAATGTTTATGGTTTTGAAGTGTTTATGAATGGTCCTAGGTTGAATTTAGTATTCATTATCACTCTTGCCATGGTAATCCACAGATGACGAAATGTTTAGGCGCAGGGTCACACTACATGTGAGTTATAAGCATTAGGCCGGATGACATCACAAGTGACCAGTGTTATGTTTTAATGTGCCACTATGATCACAACAATAGACCAATCACATGATTATTCAATGCATAAAGGGTATGGTTTTAGAATGTATAAAAAACTTATTCCAGCAATTATGCCTGTCAAATGCCTATTATCTTACAACTCTTTTCAAAACGCATCTAATTTGCTTTCCATCATTACATATGTTTTTGAAACAGCCATTCATATTGTAATTAAGAAATACACTTTGCTCTACCACCATGTATAGTGTAATAAAACACACTTTTGCCCTGAACTATTATAGTTAAAGCACGAGGACGTTTTATTACACCATACATGGTGGTAGGGCGAAGTGTATTTCCTTTCTAAGATGCCAAATTTAATACTTTCTAAAGATAATTACGATTAATTTAAGGCAGAAAACAAACGACGGTGTCGGTGACCTAAATTAAGAATCCTCGCACAGGGCTAACTGGTGCGCTGTTCTATTGATTTGTCTGCCCCCTAGGTTAAGACGAACGTTACCAGAAAAAAACAAATGATAACAGTTTGATGACGGTTTACGCTCGATTAAATATCTTCTCTGAATTATTTTAATTACATATGTCATTAACGTAAACCATATGGGGCAATATGAACGTTGCATTTCTACTACCAGCGTTAAGTTTAGATCAGTACATCCAGAGGAAGTGAGTAGTCAAGCGACATCCCACAATTGCATTGTGGGAATGTAAACATTACTTAACGCTACCGTGTCGCTGAAAACTTGTGAGTTGAAATGACACATTTTAACCGTCGTGAAAACATAAACGTAATGTTTCCACCAGTGATGTTAGCTGCGTGAAGCAACAGCAAACCAAGAAACTGGATGCAACGGTGTAGTTTACTGTAGGATGTCGTACGAGGCGATGACAACTGACATGCATCGTGACGTCGCTGACATTGTGACGTAATGTAAAATGGTTCGATTACGAGGGGGCACACTAGAATGGCGCAGTGACGGGATAACGTCATTCAATTGTTACGTCATCAAAAAACTATACCTTTATTGTCTGATAATGTAATTTTTTTTCGATTGTTCTAACCGCTAGGCATCTTAGAATCTCTGTTACTCAACTAGTAATTGAAACTTTAACATTATATACTATGTGCAGAACACCAAAATAGTACAAGACTGACAGACTTGACTTATTTTTTCACCATTTACAATTGCACCAACTGAGTATACATGTTGTTTACCTGCTGATGTTCATACACTTACCAAGTCATATATATGATTAGCCAACTGCACTTTTTCATCTGCATCCTCTTTGGCCTTATAGTAATCCTGAAATATATGACAAATCACAACTGGAAATCCTTAAGAAAGACAAATTCACGGAAGTCAATTTCAATATTTGGAATCATTGACTCTCTAAGGATCAATCAGTGATCAAACATATACTGTGGAAGCAGTTAAAACCGGGCACTCGTCGGGACGGCAGAAATAATACGGTTTAGACAGATAGTAGAGCTTACCTACGACTAGAACTCAACCAGTTTTGTCACTCTCATATACATTGTTGTATCACATGGTTCTCTCAATTACTGCACACATTCACAATAAAACGAGTAAACTCACTAATTACAAGTATACCTATACTGAACTAAGGTTAAATTATCTTTGTCGGCAACCATGTACAGTCAAATCCCAATGAGTCGAATCTCTGGGGACCAAGTAATAAATTCAACTTATCGATGTATTCGAGACATAGGTATGTCTATGAGGGTAGAAAAAAAAGATGATCCAGTCCTAATTCCTCCGCCTAAGCATTTGTTTATCTAATGATTTCCATATCACTAATAGGGGCACCTTATCAGTTCCAGTCTGATTAGCACAGACAGTGATTTCCGTAAAATCACTAATCTGCCTTTTGAACTCACCCGTCAATGGCGGGAAGGTGTGAGCCGCGCTGGTTTGTTAATTGGAGCAGTTTGCTACACCAATCAACTTCTCAATGACTGACTTCGGCTTATGTATACAAGATTGCTGTTGTTTGAATCTCATGGGACCAAATTTCCTTCTTGAGTCATCGTGTGTATTTATGAGACGAATTCGTGTAACCGGTATTCAAATGATGACAACTATAACAGGGAATGGTCGGGACCGACAGGTACTTCGAGTTATGCATAATATTCGAGACACCGGCATTCGACTCATTGGGATTTGACTGTAGTTTCAATGCAGGATTAATTATAGGGCTGGGACGATACACGATGTCACGATACGATACATATCGCAATATTTTACCTGCGATAAGATATATATCATGATACATACACCTTGAAAGAATGACATAGTATAAAGATTGAATTTTGATTTATTTCAAGGTATTTGTGTGTAACAATAACACTACTGCAATAAACAAACAAGTAACTCTATCATACTTGCGTATTTTTCTCTAAATATGTACTTTAACATATTTAAGATAATACTGTTTTGCAAAAAAGTCGTGTATTGTTTTTTATCGATACACCAGTCGATAATACCATAGCTGTATCAAACTTAAATGTATCGTGATGTATTGGTGCATTGGTGAATCGTCCCAGCCCTAATTAATTAATGACAATACACAACCGGTCGACTCCTCACCACGCACAAGATTAGACAGCGCTGATTACTGTTTGGGTGGCTCATTTCATGCCGAGAGCTTTTAAATGATGATAAATGTCCTAGCCACGGATAGGACTGAGATTTTATGCAGGTGTTGACAAGTTGCCGGATTGGACAGCTACCGGTTTTGACAGCTTCCACTGTATTGAAGACTAGTACCCCTGGATGGGAGTATTAGATTGCAGAACTGTCAACAATTAACTTGTTACTATTGCTACTGACATGTGTTTACACTGGACACATTTATTATACACCTTTCTGGATCAGATGCCATTGAGAAATGTTTACAGATGTACATTTGACTGGATATACTGCACCTGTTTTATTTTCTGAAACTGTTCTTCTTTCCATTCAGGCTTCACATTTGGTGTAACACATTTGGTGAAAAAAGTCTTGACCCTTTCCTCCAGACTGTCAAGAGCATCTTAAAAGACAAATGTGTTTACCACTTTGGTGAAACCACAAGACCTTTTAGTACTTGCCATCAATCATAATATCAAAAAAAAATGTTAACTTTATATTACAGGGTGGACTGACCCCACACACGCTTGAAAATTATAGAAAATAAAATATCATGGTTTCTGTACATGCAATAAAATCCATCACATGGGGCAGATGTGACTACAGTGACTAGCTAGTTTCGGGCTAAAGAATCTTCCAAAATGACTTGATAATAGATGCTGAATTATTAAACATTCTCAGACATAACACTGCAATACATATATTTGACAAATATATAATTATTATTTTTTCATGACCAGACCAGTCCACCAACCACCCCTTGTTATAAATTACTGTGTGCGATGCATACTGATGTGGCTTAATTTTACTTAAACCTCAACCAGTCTGCTAACAGCTGGTACCTTCTGAGACAAGTCGTTTCCCAATTCTGACAATAAATACCCTTTTGAACAAAATAACAAGATAACTCCTCCATAAATGTTGAGCTGCCATTAACAGATTATGCAAAACACGTAAATACCATTCGGCTCGTCAACTCATTTACCATAAAAACAATACTAGCAGACAACACGGAAGTGAATGAAATCCTCCAAGGGCAGATAACTCTTCACTCAAGTCTTGCCGGTCACAATCAAAGTAAATAGACTATATGCATTGGTCTTGATGCAATCGGGGCTTACTTTGAACTTCCAAATCCATTTCACGCATTTCAGTTAGCCTTTCACGCATTTCCATAGGCAGATTTTCGATCACTGAAAGGAAATGCGAAAAGAATTAAAGTTAGCAAGCAGATGGTCACAGTTTAGACACGGTTCAGGCAATTTCAGCTCCACAAAAGGCCCTTGTGAAGATAATTACGTTCACTTTATTTAATTCCGAATAATAATTTGATGGTAAATTGACTTACTCTCCAAGTAATCTTCCAAGTACAGCATTTTGTTGGTTCTCAGTCTACCCGCATGAAATACAAATGGCGTAGTTTGTGTTTTGGTGCGAGGCAATGTAACGATGTATTTGATTGGTCCAGGAGAAATTATCAAAAGCCCGGTTTCGTGACAAATGTTTGATTATTTAAGCGTTGTTACGATCAGAGTAGACCGGTAGCGTGATGGTAAAAGCTACAATATGCAAATCACAGTGTTTTAGATGATGACAAGATTTACTTCATGGAGCAGTTGGACAAAAGATCAATACTCGCTTCACAAAGAACAACCAATCAAATGAGGTTTTAGAAAAGTAAATAAACGGCGAACCATGTGCTTGGAAAATCCTAAAACACAAACATACAAGACAGCCTGAAATAGGATTCACCGAGCAATTCAAAACGCTATGGATGTGCCCAGACTGTAAAGACGATATGTTTTATTCTTCTGACATTTGTAGATTGCAAAATGTTTTAAAGCAATATATTCTGTAACCCTTTTATACAGATTTTTAGGCAAACATGCGTGTGTGCATATGTGTGTGCGTGCGTGTGCGTGCGTGTGCGTGCGTATGAAGGTAGTGGGAAAAGGAATAACTGCCAAGGAGTGAGGTATATTGATGAGATAATGACTAGTCAGGACTTCATACCCAAATACTGAAATCAATATTTATTTGTTTTTGTATCAAACTGATGGATGTTCTAGTGACGAGGCTCGGTTAAAAGGCTAACAAGCGCGGGTTACGTTGATACCACACTTACATGTCAGACTTGGTAGGCCTGACCTATGGAACTGTCTTCAGAGGTGTCGTTGGGCGGTGGGGTAGTATAATGGTTACTTTTTAAAACGTTCTCTTGTCACGCTGATCGAAGACCCGGTTCGATTCCCCACATGAATGCAATTGTGTCAAGCCGATTTTTGCTGTCCCTTAATTGGTATTATACTGGAATGTTGCTGAAAGCAGCGTAAACCCACCCTCACTCAATCACTCACTCAGATTTGTCATAGTGGCAAATAGATCTGAGATTTGTTTTAGGACCTTAGCACCAGACCCATTGTATGCATAATTTCCTTATGACCCCACAAATACAGGTACCGTTCTTTTAGGATACCACCCATTTCTTCCCTAAAAATATAAATAAATACAAAATGATTGAAATAATAGGACCGCGATGACATTCCGTTTTCCAGGTCGTGATACTTTCTCGTGAAAACCCTGCTGTTTCGAAACACATGTTTACGGCCCATTAAGCCCGTATGCTTAGTTGCAAACTGGATAAACCCTAATATGTCTGTTTAAAAAAATTCTTCAGAGACCATATATTGATGTATCGGTGAACGGTGTCTGAATATCCATTCTCCCAAAGTAAAATATCGAGCTGTCAATTATAACAGGGAGACTATATATGTTGTAGACTATCCCTGATTATAAATAAGAACAAATATAACTGACAGATCGTTGTCTCATGTTTAATGTGATTATACTTTTATAAATACGGTTAATGAAGGTGAAATAAAATGACGTGTAACGTCGCGCACATTTTACTTTCAATGTAAAATGAAATAGTCAGTTATGGCTTAAATGCCAACATGTGTCCTCTTCATTTTTCCTGACGAGCCCTGCAGCTATCCCATTTCGCTGTCGTATATATTCGTGGACATATTTGTTAATGTACCTTCTTGGTTATGATTCCATTTATGTGTGGTTTTGTCCAACTTGTATACACGTAAACGATAGCGATATGAAAGAGGATAAACAGTTCGATATTTCGTTTAATCCTTCTTCAGTATAACCGTCCTTATTTTATATTCAACCAACCTATAGGTTGAGGTCAATGGCGGGTCAAGGCCATTTATCAACGTGCCTCAAATGTTCACGATGCAGACGACGTGGAGCAGAGTTTTTGTGCAACATTTTCTGCGCAAAAATAGACATGACAGCATCGCTAAAAACTTATATAGGTTCAACAATACGGTAAAGAGCAAGCGTGTTTGAAGGATGGACCTTGAACTATTTCTGAATTAATGTTGGCACCAAGAGCAGGTGGTGACATTTACGACACCATATTTGTCTTGTGATCATGTCAAGAAACTCAGGGACTGGCAATGCATGACATGCATATGTATATAAATGATTTACGCATTATCAGTTACGAAATGAGTGTTATGCATTTATCATACCAGCTGTAGTATCTCTTGTACACTTTGGTTAGAATTTTTAGCTTCACTGGAAAAATTGTCGTGAAAATTTCCGGTAGTTATGTGATTGGCAGCAGTTCCATTTCACCATATGTGTGCCATATTGGAATCAGCTCGGTGGTGATATGCCTAGAATGTTGTCAACAGAAATGTAAGACGAAACTCATTCACTTACAATTTCCAATCCTATGTTTGTTTTTAAGGGGATAATAAAGAGCTACAAACTTACTAGTTTGGAATAGTAAAAAACATAACATTTCATCAACTGCATACAATACCATCCAGAAATTCCGCGCACCTAGGGAAATCGGTACACTTACAGAATACCGGATACCTAATTATATACATTCTATTGTGCGCGTGAGGCTCCTATATATAGAAGAAACAGAGAGCGCGAGCCTGCGAGCGATCCAATAAAAATACGAATTTAAGGTAAAAAATAAGGTTAAAATCGAATTCCTCACCTTACTTCCGGTTTAGGAAACCTAAACTGGGGATTTTAACAGCGTTCACTGACGTAAACAGAGTAAAAAGTAATCGTGTGTTGAAATTTTATTCAAATGCATGCTGGGAAAAGGAACTCTACAGTGTGGGAACACTCTGATGGTAAGTGATTTTTGATTGGTAAGGTAGGTAAGGCTTTTAAATACAGGGGGGTACCCCCTTTACCCCCTTTATCTTACCTTTTTTTAGCTTTAATATTGTTTAATATTTAATATTGAACGCTGCTTCAACGCAGCCTTTTTTCATCGCGTGCCGTTGCTAAGGAAACAAAATCGAAGTGCGCAAAAATAAATGCGCAATCAAAATAAAAATGGCGGATAGGTATCCGGTATTCTGTAATCTTGCCGGGAAATCGATCGCAACACGGCAACTAACGTCTCTTAACCTTTGTGGTTTACGTGACTAAACCTGCTGGTATGCATCGTATTTACCCACAAATATAAGTTTTATTGACTACTATAAGATTCTAATGTTGCATTATGCCATACGGTTCACCTTACCGGCGTTCTGACGAGATCGCTTGCTGTCCGGTAATTCTGCGCAGCAACTGATGCGCATAACATCCAGCTGGAGACCCTAAGTATAGAAGCGTTTTTGGGCCAGATTATTTTCAAAAATTCACTTCATCAATGTAAGGAAGAGTGTTTTATATTAAATCCAATTATGAATAATGAAGAAAAAGGTTTAAAAGTCTGAAGAAAACAAATTTTCATAAAACTGTCAATTTATCTGTCAATTACTGTTATGTACTTACTTTTAGTGATTAAAAGCCAGTCCCTTGTAGAAATGTCCCGATTTCAAGAGTAAATGTGGTAGCAGACGATGTTTACCTTCGATACGGAAGTACGCTATTGCAGCTGCGCAAAATTACCGGACGCACAGAATTACCGGACTCGCTTGTATATATAATTCATAAATATTCTAAGGAATTTAGATCTGAAACATTTATATGTCTTTATTTTGGTAACTTTTCAGAGTTCCAATTTACAAAGAACATGTCTGTACAATTTCCATGTTGCCCAACAAGGGAAAATGGTACCATTTGCTGGCTGGGAGATGCCAGTGCAATACAAGGACACAATATCCGAGTCTCATCTGCATGTGAGGGAAAATGTTGGCATATTTGATGTCTCCCACATGCTGCAAACTAAAGTTGAGGGCAAAGATCGTATCGAGTACATGGAATCTCTTGTTCCTGCTGATGTTCAAGGTTTGAAGGACAACAATGGGACACTGTCAGTATTTCTAAATGAAACGGGTGGAATTTTGGATGACTTGATTGTCACAAAGACTACAGAAGATTATTTGTATGTTGTGTCAAATGCGGGATGCATTGAGAAGGATTTCTCCAACATGCAGGTACTGTTTATTTTTTGTTTGCGTTCTATTAGTACCAAACATCTTGATTACTGAAAATTAATATGTATGTGTCTTAGTGGGGTATCCATGTTCATCTGCAGCATGGTAATTCCATGAGCTTACACTTACAATAGTTTAGTGGTCCATGTCATAACTCTGATATTAAAATTAAGATTTAAGAGTCAATAGATCTCATTAAAATCATTACTCCATTACGATAGCTCTTTATCACAGTACTTCGCCTCAAGGTTGTCTCTTAACTGGCAAAAATGGACCCCCCAGTTACTAATTTCATGGGACTTTACTGGAAATACAAAGATGTTCTTCAATAATGGTGTAGAATACTGTATTGTAACAATTAATAAATATTTTGATTACAGGACCTTTATAACAATTGTCAGGAATTTGGTACAGTCACTATCAGTGTGCATCCTTGGGATATAATACAAATGTTTTCAGTGTCCATTGTTCACATTTGTGCATTTCTGCACCTTGCACCTCCATATGTAGTCACATCAGATGAACTTCTTATCACCAGCAAGGCTTGTAAGTTCTTTGTAGAAGTAACTGAAGAATTAAAACCCAACATATACAGAGAGATTTTAGCATCAGAGTTCGCTCTGGATTCATCTGAGGCAATGTTCTTTGGCTGTATTATCAGGTCAAAGTAAGAGTATATCCTGTTGTCAGTATTGTTTTCAATTTGTAGTTGATATCATAGAATGGTTAAATGTGTGCTAGGTTTGTTTTAATTGTCTTAGCAGATCTCAGACTGGGGGCAAAAAGAATTCTGTTTCACTCATTTATGGCATATTATTTGTGTTCTAAGTTTGCAATAATTTGTGGTGGTTGGATGGATGCTTGATAAAATTTATAAGTTAGAATCTGGTAGTTATGTATATTTTCGTCAACATATCTAGGTAATAATGATTTCTAATGGTTGTGCTAACATGAAAATTATACAGAATTTGGTGCCTAAAGAGGACTGTATTGCCTGTACTTCTGTGTATTTTACCAACCCAATTTTACAGTAAGTTCATATTCCACATGTATATTTTTCAGAACAGGGCAGAAGAATGTAGAAAGAAAGGGCTTGATGTCAAAGTTGAGAAAATTAAAAAGGCCTTAGTTGCTGTTCAAGGTGGGTGAAACATCTCAACTGTGATGAGGTTCACTGTTTATCCTTGTTCCTATACATAAACTAGTGTCCAAAAGAAACGATACCACGTGTTTCAAAGATCACTAAATTAAAACAAAACAACATAGACATTTCAAATTGATATCTTTCATTAGATAAATGAATTTACGGCATGTGTACAAAAAGTCATCAAAATCAAAGATTTACAATCATTAACACAGGGCTTTAAACGAAGTGTGGTGCACAAAATTGAAATTTCATTTTAGCACAGTGGGGGAGGCAAGTGAGGGTAGTCTCTGAAAACAGTCTTAAGGCCACTTTAGTACCGGATATGTCCACCAGCAGCTGTGATACATGCCATGACACGCCTCCGAGCTGATGACGTCAAACGCCGGATGACGTTAGGGGTGATTCGCTGCCACTCATCCTGGAGACAATGTTCCAATTGTTGGAGGTTGCGCTGGGGCGCAGGGCGTTTTCTGATTTTCGATTGAGGTGATTCCATATGTGCTCAATGGGATGCAAATCCGGTGAACACGCTGGCCATGGCAAAACCTGTATGTTGGCAAGGAAGTTCTGGGTCAATCTTGCCGTATGAGGCCTAGCGTTATCGTGCTGGAACACGATTCCTCCTGGATGCTGTTGGGCTTAATGACTGAACGACTGGTCGTGAAAACCTCATCCTGGTAACGCTGTGCATTCAGGTTCCCCGAATAATGACGAACCTCGCTTTCACATCACCGCAGATACCTCCCCACACCATTACACCTTCGCCTCCAAATGCATGGACTTGATGGATGCAGTTCGGCGCCAAACGTTCACGAATTCTTCGGTATACTCGCTGCCGACCATCGTTCTTGTAAAGGCAAAACCGGCTTTCGTCCGAAAACAAGACACATGCCCAGTTTCGACGTTGCCACCGCCGAACACGCCTGGCCCATATCAATCGGTTGACTCTGTTTTGACGTGTCAGGTAGACTCCGCGGTAGGGGTGACGTGCACGGATACCATGTGCCTGCAGTCTCCTGTAGACGGTTTGTCAACTGATCCGGTGTCCCAAGTCCCGTCGCCGCCGTTAACGGTGCAGGAACGAAGCGGTTATGTAGGTGAAGTAACCGGATGTGGTTGTCTTGAATAGGCGTGGTCACCCGGGGTCTCCCGCTTCTCGGCCTGTCTGTTGTTCGGCCTGTTTGACGCAACCGTCATTATCAACCTGGTAACGGTTATGCGCGCGCATCCAAACGTTCTTGCCATAGCAGGCGCGTGATGCTCCCTGTCGGACCATTCCAACGGCTCTTTCTCTCTCGATCGCTGTCAAACAGGCCATTTCTTTTGTGTGCTTTTTACTGCTGTCGGCACAACGTGTCGGACCAGCGGTTTTATACAGTTCATCTGCACGTGCATTTCGTGCTACACGACTTAACGTCATTTTGAGTATTCGTGCGATTGCTTCTTAAGTGAATAAATGTTACTGTTTCTTTCGATCGAATACGTTTGGTTAGGAACGTGGGATACACAGAAATATGTTTTTTCTCCAAAAAGTATCATTAATTTAAAAATATTGAAAAAAATATTTGGTATCGTTTCTTTTGGACATGAGTTTATGTACATGCAAAATACAACAAGTTATTATTTAGTATTCCAGGCTCTTGGTAACCAAATTGGGAAACAATTGCAATTTTGTTCAAAAATGTGAAAGTGAATATTCCTGCTTGACAAAATGTCACCACACACACAAAGTAAAGAAGTTGTTATCCATAAAGTTTGTCTCTATTGCTCTTCCTGTTTGTTGGTTGTCTTATCAGTGGAATACAAGTCACCTCAACCAAACCATCCCATACCAATATTACATGAAATTGGAACTTTCAATGCTCATGTCTGCTTCATTTAACATGGCAACCTTTCATGTTTCTAGATTTAAAAATTCCATGTATTAAAGTACCCGGTGTATGGTAAAACTGATTGGAAGATGAATTCTTTTCGGACAAGGTGGGAAATAGATTATTTTTGCTCAGGTTTTAAAAAATATATATCACTGGATATAAAAATGTTAGAACTTCAGAAATTAGAACTTTTTAATCTCTGAGAATTGATCTTTTCATGGACATTAATAAAATATGAAATGTTAATGTTCAAAATGTAACTAAATTTATGCAATAATGCCACGAAAATAGGTATCATGATTCGTATCGAATCGTGACATGGGTATCGTGATACGTATCGATTCATGAAACTTACGTATCGTGACATCCCTACGAACAAGTATTCAATCTTAACCAAAATTCCTAAAACAGGTATTTAATTGTTGATTCCTCAGATTTCAGCAAATAATTATTTTAAAATCTAATTTCAGGCCCCAAAATGATAAAGGTTCTGCAACCAGGTATTAACTTTGACCTTGGCCAGCTGACCTTCATGACTTCAGCCTTGACTTCTATATTTGGTATTCCTGACTGTCGAATCACAAGGTGTGGTTACACTGGCGAGGATGGTGTAGAGGTAAACATTCACACTGAAAACCTGAATAATTTAAATAGGGTTCGTTAAGAAACGGATTCTGTGGGAGAAATAATTTCTCGTTACTTGCGACCTACCTACGCCATCAATAGCATCAACTCCAAACCTTGCAGTTTTGTAGCTTTAGCTAACTTGGTTGATAAATTTGATATTAACTGACACTCATGATTCTCCTTATCTTAGCAATGCTGCACTACAAAAAATAACAAGGTGTCTTCTCTGCTGACCAGATTTGAATAATTTACAAGATAAGCAAAACTATTAGAAATTGTAGTATATTTTATGTTTGGGATCACACTTTCTCAGTAAAGTACAGACTCTTGTACTTTTGATAGGTTGAGTTCCACCTGGGATTCGAACCATCACTCTCAGAGTCAGGCACCTAATCACCAGCACACAAAGTCAGCCATCTAACCAACTTCGGTACCGCAACTTCCACAAGATTGAAATCAGACAACTAGTAGTCTGGATCGCATACTTTGTATACTCCCATGTAAAGTGTAAATTGGCACGGCTCCCAAGCTACAAATACACCATGACATTTAGAAGGAGGTCAAATGTAACTTGTGTTATATTTGGGATTACACTTTCTCAGTATAATAGTACAGATTCCAGTATGTGATCTACAGTTAAGGCTATGATACAGACTCACTCGCACATTCTCTAAATGAATGATTGCCCTGGCAAAGTACAAATTTGATGGACTTCTTGCCCTATAGATATCTGTGACCGAGGATCGTGTTGAGGAGCTGCTGAAGCTACTCCTCTCCTCATCCCAAGCTGAGGTCCGTATGGCTGGCCTTGGAGCTAGAGACAGCCTGAGGCTAGAGGCCGGCCTCTGTCTCTACGGCAACGACATAACTGAGGACACTACTCCAGTAGAGGCTAACTTAAACTGGGTTATTGGTATGTTGATGATCTTACAGGCAAACTTCAGAATTCAGTGGAGTAATCTTGGCATAATGGGTTTATTAATTTAACTATGGGGCTTCAGAAATGTTCATTGTCAAGCTTATAGTGAAGAGACATTCACTGATTCCTATATGGTCAAAAGATTCTTTCTGTACGCATATTTGAAGTTCAAAGGGCTCATAACGTTGTTTATTCTGTTGAATTAAGAAATACCTTAATATTTCTTAGATGGTATGTTCATTCACCGGAAATTTCATTTTCACTTTAAAAGTACTTGAATTGAAGTTTGGTCCTTTCTTAAATCAGGCAACAAAGTGATTATGACCAAAGATTCTTGATAACAATCACCACCAGTTTCTGATATCAGGAAAACAACTTTGCTGACTTGGTGTGTGTTATATTGCAGCCAAACGTCGACGTGAGACTGGGGGATTCCCCGGTGGTGATGTCATTCTCAACCAGTTGAAGCTCAAGTCTAAGGGAATCTCCCACAAGAGAGTTGGGTTTATCTCCTCAGGACCACCTGCTAGAGGTAGGAGTTGAGTGTGTCAGGCTACTTGTATGGAAACATGCCCTCACCTAAGCAGCATCACATGCCAGGCTGATGTCACAGGGTACAGTATTACCGCTGCTGGTGTATCTTGAGCTACAGTCATTGTGTCTCTAGACATGCATGTGACTCTTCTGGAACTTAATTTTATAGTGGCACTGATTACCAGGCACTGAGTACCGAAGGTGTCGCTGAATTCTTAAGATGTCGCTGAAGTCTTAAGGTGGTGCTGAAGTTTTAAGGTGGCACTGAATTCTTAAGGTGGCACTGAATTCTAAAGGTAGCACTGAATTTTTAAGATGGCACTGAAGTCTTAAGGTGGCACTGAAGTCTTAAGGTGGCACTGAATTCTTAAGGTGGCACCAAATTCTTAAGGTGGCACTGAATTCTAAAGGTAGCACTGAACTTTTAAGATGGCACTGAAGTCTTAAGATGGTGTTGAAGTCTTAAGGTGGCACTGAATTCTTAAGGTGGCACTGAAGTCTTAAGGTGGCACTGAATTCTAAAGGTGGTACTGAATTCTTAAGGTGGCACTGAAGTCTTAGGCGGCACTGAACTCTTAAGGTGGCACTGAATTCTTGAGGTGGCACTGAATTCTTAAGGTGGCACTGAATTCTAAAGGTGGCACTGGTGGCACTGAATTCTAAAGGTGGCACTGAATTCTAAAGGTGTTGCTGAATTCTTAAGGTGGCACTGAATTCTTAAGGTGACACTGAATTCTTAAGGTGCCACTGAATTCTAAAGGTGTCGCTGAATTCTTAAGGTGGCACTGAATTCTAAAGGTGGCACTGAATTCTAAAGGTGTCGCTGAAGTCTTAAGGTGGCACTGAAGTCATAAGGTGGCACTCAATTCAACATTTTGCACTGAATTATGATGGGTTTAGTTTTACGCTGCACTCAGCAATATTCCAGTTATATGGCGGACTGAATTATGAATCCTTAAAGTCACATTGAATGTGCTGAATTATAAAACTAGCAATAAATTCAGGCACTGTATTATATAGACTTCGGAGAAGTTCAATCAGGTGATTTTGCTCCTCTTAAGCATGAAATTAAGTAAGTACTTAAGTTATTTTGAAATTAATGCTATTTAAGTTGATATGAGTGCAAACAATTTGAAGATAGGAAAAGATAGGGATTTTCAACCAAAATAATATGTTATACATGATAACTATATTGTGGAATTTTATAGAAAATTAGTTTATATATTTCAAAGGCAAGGCTGTTCACATTAGTTTCAGGATGGATCTTAGGCTTGGATTAATGAGGTAACTAATTCAATTCACGACTTCTAGTTTTCAACTGGACAAGTATTTTTAAGAGTACTCAATTTCAAATCTCTTTTGATCACAGCTGGTGCTGTCATTTTGGATGCAGAGGGACAAAAGACAATTGGTCATGTGACCAGTGGTTGTCCTTCACCTTCACTGAAGACAAACATCTCCATGGGCTATGTAGAAACACCTTATTCAAAGACAGGGACAGCTATCAAGTTCAAGGTCAGACAGAAAGCTGTTGACGGGGAGGTGGTGAAGATGCCGTTTGTGCCAACAAAATATTTCACGGGAAAGTAACTGAGAAGATGACAGCTTTATCAAATTTGATTCAGATGTGATTAATTAATTCAGACAATTAACACCATTATTGGTTTGTATGCAACTTGTTCCTCCGGGACCTTCATGAATACGTTTGAACTCGAGTCCAATTAGCTGAAAATAGCACAGGGTATTCAGCTTACATCATAACTATAGTAATATTTTTGCTTGACATGTGAATATGTGCATGTTCAATGCAGGTGTCTGCTCTACACATTGTTTGAATTAATGGCAATGGTAGGGTTAGGAATAGGGATCATTTGACCTCCCATCAGCTATGAATGGCCTTATTTCTCTACCTTACCCATTATCGACATAACTGCCACATCACATATCTGCTGTTTGTAATAGGGGTGATGGAGGAACATAGTGTATGGGAACCTGTGAAGAACTGGTTGATTTATGCTACACAATGTTCAATGTTTTGTACAATATGGATCATTGTCAACTTGTGCCTTGTATAACTTAGGGATTCGATGAAAAGTCCTACAAATTCCTACAATGAGATGAGGTGATGGTGACAGAGCTATGAAGAATTACACTTATGCATGCTTTTATGATGCTGCTTCTGTGGCTCTGATAGTTATGATTACGTGATCTTAACCAATAACGGTTCTAATCTCAATTTTGCCATGTTTTTGTTGCATGTATTGTTTGTACATGCAGTCAGAATGTATCTGTCATTTTGTGTTATAATCAGAGCTACCTCACTTAACTTCCCACTGTTCTAGGCACTTTCAATGAGGGAATGGTTGGCATGTTAGATTCATCTCCCTGAGGCAAGAGAATTAAAGGACTCTAAGGTTTCCATCCTAGGACATGTTTGGTCCTGCCAAATTGCAACTGCAGGGTTGTTGCCTAGTTCAGCAACATCGACACAAGACTTAAATTGTCAAGGAAAGGGACAGAACATCGGCCGTTCAGGAACATGTTTTGGAAACAATAGCTGATAACCCTTAAGCTTACTTCACTGGCCTCACATCATTTTGCAAGACATGCTCTGGAAACCATCACATAACTAGAATATCTTCTCCAAAACATGACCAAAGCAAGTCGATTCTGTGACGTACATGGGGAGCTCTTTTCTCTTGGTTTTAGAATTTAATTAAGCGTGAATGCAAATGATTTGATTAATTAGAAACACTCAAAACCGCAGACCTACTTTCACTTTAAGTCAAAAAGATAGTTTGTGATAGACTGTGATGCAAGGAAGACGTTTTAAGACTAGAATATTGGTAGCATGGGGAGTTAAACATCTTCTGCACATGATCGTATAACTACATCCATGTTTGGGGTGCAGGATGACAGTGATCCAAAGCGCCACAATTTGCTGTGTGTCTCGGATGTGCCATGACCCTTTGAGTGTAATTCAATCTTTGATCAGCCTAGATTATGTTTCTAGATTGGTGAGCAAGATACCCTTTACTTGTAGGTTTCTCTGAAGAGATGCTTGTCGTAAGAGGCGACTAACGGTATCGGGTGGTCATGCTCGCTGACACATGTCATCGATTCCCAATTGTGCAGATCGATGCTCGTGCTGTTGATCACTGGATTGTCTGGGCCAGACTCGATTATTTACAGACCACCACCATATAGCTGGAATATTGCTGAGTGTGGTGTAAAACTAAACTCACTCACTTATTCACTGAAGAGATGGTATTACATGCATTCCCTTTAGGCCTTTACTTAATATCAAGTTTTCAAACAGAAATATTACTGAAATATTGTTCAAATCTTCGTAAGAGTAACTTAATGGTGGTCGTGATGCTGGATTAAGATGATACACTTCAGATGCAAAATCTTTTGCTTTACAACCTGAAATGTAGACATTAACATAGGCATAACTGCTACCAAAATGAGGCGGAATTACAAATGTTTTCAAAATATTGCAAAATGTGAAAAACTATGTGACTTCGTTAATCATCATAACCCTATCAAATCACTGCATCTACAGTGCATTCATTGTTATGAGTCAAAGTCAAGGATATCACATACTTTTTGTAAAGAATACACCTGCAATTTGTTTTGCTAAAAATGATAAATTGATGTCATGCTTTTTGTTGTGAATTTTTAGTACCTTATGGCTGCCAGATGGCGTAGAACATACAGCAAATATGGCTATGAATTTTTTAGAGGGATTTCTATTATTTCATCTGGTTTGACAACCAGGCCAACGAGGGGTGGGATCACTGTTTATATTTTGAGACCGCATTTTGCCAAACATGATCTCTCATATTTTCCATCGAAGAGTAATCAATCAAAATATTGTTGATTCATCAAAACTCATAAAAACATATTTATTTTTCTTTGCACTTGTGTTGGTTCAAATACAGCTAACAGTGACTGTCAGTTCATCATCTGTTAAGTGTCAGGATTGGAGCTATTAGATAGAGGACACAAAAATCCATAAAACAGAATGCATGCACTTGTGTAGAATTTCTAGTGCAGATTGCTACTGAAGTATGTTAACATGAATAGATCTAAAATCACCAATTATAATGTTAGTGTAACCATGACAACCCATCCCATATGAGAGTAATACCTGATTTATAGTTGGTTTATTAGATGACCTTATGAATTGTTGAATATTTCCTTTATGACTGTCGACAGTGCAAGATGTTATAGTAATACCTGAATGTATTTAATTGTCAATATAACAGAACACTGTGTACACAGTTTTAATCCAAGTTGCTCCAAGGTGAAGTTGTAGTATCGACACGCAGAAACAGTATTAATATTGTAATCGTCAAATGGCAATGTCTGTTAAATTGGTAGAGTTTGAGGTTGTTACATTTCTTAAAGAACTGTACTGACTTTGTTCACCTGACTGAAAGTCAAGCAAGCTTATGTCATCACCTTTTGGTAGAGTTGGAATCTATAAACATTTTCTCTGAAGGAATCACTTGACTTATGAAGCGGACATGTTTTTCCTCAGTGTTTGCACAAATTTTAAATTCAATTTATTTAGTTGATTCTTATTCATTATGACATGAGATTTACAATGCTGACTGCAAGATTTGATGAGTGGCATTATTTTTTGTGAATCTCACATGATGCTATATTTTCAAATGGAGGACACATCTAATTGGATTATGAGATAGAGGTTTTAGGATCTTAGGTTGTCAGGTGGAGACATCATGTTATAGGGCACAGATATTGAGATATTATAATGAAGATAGTGAAATTGAAGTTTTTATAAGGTGCAAAGATTGTGATTTCATATTGTAATGTAGAGGTTTAGAGTTCGTGCATTGTAACCTGGATATATTGAGATCTTACATTGTAAAGTGGATGTTTTAATCTTTCCATTGTAACATGCAGATGCTGAGATCTTACATTGTAAAGTGGAGATATTTAGATTCAGATCTTAAATTGTAAAGTGGAGATATTTAAATTCAGATCTATTGTAAAGTGGATATTTGATTCAGATACATTATGGAGACGAGTGATACAATATTTCAGGATGTAAAGACTTAGTGCTACATGCCAAACTTAATTTAGATTGCAAGAGTACCGGTATGTATTTACAGGTTTGAGCCAACAGGTTTTATCCGTCTGTCCGTCCGTCCGCCCGTCCGTGCACATTTGTCTTTTCCGGAGCAGAACTCTAAAACCGTTCACTATTTCTTCACCAAACTTGGCACATAGATTGGTCTGGTGGTGTACTGGTTCCTTTTGGTAGTTTTGGAATTCTGAATAAAATATTTTTGGCGTTTCCATGGCAACAAGTTTGACTTAGCCTGAAAATGGTGGTAGTGTTCTTTTCCGGAGCAGATCTCTAAAACCGTTCACTATTTCTTTCACCAAACCTCGCACATAGATAGATCTGGTGGTGTACTGGTGCCTTTTGGTAGTTTTGGAATTCTGAATAAAATATTTTTGGTATTTCCATGGCAACAAGTTTGACTAAAACAGAAATTAGTGGTAGTACACTTTTCCGGAGGAGAACTCTAAAACTGTTCAATGTTTCTTCACCAAACTTGGCACATACATAGATCTGGTGGTGTACTGGTGCCTTTGGGTAGTTTTGGATTTCTGAATAAATTAATTTTGGCATTTCTGGCAGACTGAAATTGGTGACAGTGCTCCTTTCTGGAGCAGAAATTTAAAAACCTTTCAGTATTCTCCTTCCACTTTTCTATATACACACCTAAATATTTGACATAATCATAACTCGTAGACATAATTATGAAGAGTATTTTGCCATTGCGGGGGATATTGATGACTTTGTCTTCTTGTTTTACTAGGCTTCCAGTTTATTAATGTGCACACCCTCAAGGCTTTCAGTTTATGCTGCTGTGTTTCGAACACACTTATGCACACCAAACAACCTACAGGTAACTTCATTTAGAGGAGAATTTAGTTCTTATAAGACTTTATGAGAATTAAACTCAAATTTGTTTCACCCCAATAACAAGTTTACGTGCCAATTTTCAAATTCAGATCAATAAGTTCAGGTAAATGCTATGTACCATCCCACAATTGAGACGTTTGCAACTTTGACGTCTGAGTACATAAGAACTACTTTAAGTGTGTTTTGTATTTCTGTCTAAATCCATTGCCCCACAGCATAAATGTACAAATGTTCCAAACATTGTCTGAAAACAATGAAGCGATGACTTCCGTTACCCTATCAGCATATGACCTTGATATCATTTTGCTGTTCCTGATATATAGTGAATTGCTTCTATCAGAGACTGTATTATATTACTTTATGGTCCCTGCTTCCGTGAAATTCACCCTTATAGTTTTGGTGCTATGGTCCTGAGACCTTGAATACTAAATGTACTATTCTCCTGTCTCATCTACATAATTGTGAGATATATGTTTTCTTGATAATTATTTTGTACAAAAGCTACTTTATTGCTAAAACATCCTGATATACACTATTATTATATAATATTGTTACTTGATACATTATACATTATTACATTAATCAGAAATGTGTTGATATATCCTGATCAGTTTGCACTTGTTGAATGGTTAGGCCTGTTGTGTTATTATGTTATATACATTTGTTTAGTTAGGTAGCTAAAAAATATGTATCAAATTCAAAAATAATTTTGTAGTTAATGTTTTTAGATAAACCCAGTGAATAGATGTTGACCTGCACCCTGAAGACCTGGGTTCAGTTCAAGACATGATAGTGTGTGTGGTTTACTGCCATAAGACCTACATCCCATTTGAACTACATCCCAAATTAAGTACAGGGATTAAAAGTGATACTATGAAAAAAGGTTTATCAGTCAGTGTAACAAAATGTCAAACACCTTGATGTGGAACTTGTTCAATCATAACTGAAGACTGCAAATTTACATTTTGTGAATGCAAACTATTTACTATCAAAACCAACATGAACTGCCGCAGCAAAAATGTTATTTGTTTTCTGTTGGGCAAATCCATTAAGCAGACGCAGGTGACAGCGTGTAGTTAATCTGTGCACTGGACCATAACATGTGTTGTCTTAAGCTGTACTTCTTATGGGATGTAGTTCTTATGGGAGGATGCCGTGTGTTTAGTCTTTCTCTGGTGTCACAATAGCCACTGAGGAAACAAAACCATTAATGCAGAGAAAAATTTACTTGGCAGAATATATCCTCTTCAGCTACCTGCTTCCATGTACATGAGCAAAATTCAACTTTTTCTGATGATGTAAATAAATAACAATCTGTAGACAATTCCCCTAACTCTGGCAACCTGGTGGCACCAATAACATAATACAATGCCAAACTGTAACCAGATTCATTCCAGCTGCATTAAACAAATGATTCCAACAAGTGTTGTGTTTTGCTCTGTGATATCAAACAGTGAAAGCTATGTAGTGATTTCTTTTAGTGGCATTTAGAAGTTGGTGTGATGAAACAAGCAGAGTTCTATAGTACATAACTTAATGTGGTTTATTTTGGTGTAAGTACTAACACAGTTATCACTTGCTTGATACAGGTGTTATTACCTACACTGTAAAGTTGTCCATATTAAGTTATATATCCATAGAACTCAGGTCGTTGTTTTATGTAGTAATTGACTTGTGGGTAAAT